AAGTTACATAATAAAAAATAAATTTTTATTATTTAAACTTAGGTTAAACCTTCAATTTAATCCCTGGACTATTATATGAACTCTTGATTTGGTCCCTAAACTAAAAAAATCTCTGATTTGATTCTTGAATTATTGTACAGACCCCTAATTTGGTCCATATTATTTACTAATTTACTTCAAGTTGATCTTTTCGTACAAAAATAATTGACATGTCTGTTATTTAATGACGAAAAAAAATAACTTAATAATTACGTGTCACGTTAATAATAAGACATGTTAGTTAGTTTTTGTATAACATAATCAACTTGGGGTAAATTAATAAACAGTAAGAACAAATCAGAATCCATACAATAGTTTAGAGACCAAATTAGAGATTTTTTTAATTCAGAGACCAAATAAAAAATTTATACAATAATTCAAGAACCAAATTAAAGATTTAATCTTAAACTTAAGTTATCTTATTCTATTTCACAAAATACCATTATATCAATAATTTTTTTTATAAAAATTGTATCAATAATTAGTAGGTCTTAACTCGTGCAAGTAATTGTTAGTTCTGATAAATTATGGTGGTGGTAGAACATCAACTATAGTAGAACATTAACATTAAACCTGCGGTGGTTGGAATGCGGAAATCGGCGGCAGCATTAGGTTGGAGAACGGATGTCTAGTTATGCCGATTTCTGCCGTGAATTTGGTGGGGCCATGGGGTTTCCGATGGGTGGACAAAGTTAAAATCTGTGCGTTTAGTTTACCCTGGACGGACACCCAATTCCTATTAGAGCTGGGAAATCCTCTCCACATGGAGTACTTATTTTCCCTTCTGCTATAATCCAACCAACTTTCTTCCCCCATCTGCCTCGAGTCCTCTCTCCTCTTTATGCCCTTTTCAACCTCCTAAAGTTAGGTTAAATTCTGGTTCCACCATCTCTCAATCGATTTCAGCCCTTCTACCACCCAGAGAGAAAGGGTATAGCATTCCGTTTGATCTTCTACTTCTAGCCCGTTTCTTCTGTTTTGATTCCCAGGCTGAGAAACCCAGGGTATGTTCAAATTTTGATTTTGATGGGCAATTTTTTTCTTTTCTACTTATATATCATCAAACCCCTATTCTTTAGTTTCAATTTTTTAAGGGATTTGCTTGCTTATGATATGTCATTAGAATTGTATTATGATACTCATTCTTTTGCTACTTATGCAAATTCAAGCTGATAAATCAGGGTATGATGAATTTTTCTTTTCCTTTAAAAATATATTTCAGAGTTCTGAGTGTTAATTTTTTGTCAATTCACCTAGGAAATAGACTTTGGTTCAGACCTCAGATTGTACCGTAGATTGTGAGACTTATGTAAAGCAGGGGCCTTTTTTCATCTTGGTGGTGTCTATGTTATTTAGCTGATTGGGGATCAATAGAAGAGTAGTTCCCTGAGAGTGTTAATTAATTTGGACGGAAGGTGTTTGAGCTGGTTTATGAATAATGGGAACTGGGTTTTGTCAGGCTATTTCTTTCTTTTATCTTTTTCGGCTTCTCTTTTGATATCAACCATGTTGGTACCGTGAACATTTTTATGAATTAACTTTGCACCGTGCTAGCTTTTAATCTGTTTAAGCCTGTGTCAAGCAACTTTTGATGCTATTCATGACAATTTGTATATCATCTTCCTATTTAAATAAATAGGATGTTCATTAGGAGAAGGTTGTGGTTTGGTTACTCTCATGATCTCATTATATCCTTTTTTTTTTTGTTTAGTTAGGCCGTTTGTAGCTTTTTCCCTCCCATGGGTTGAAAGTTGAGACAGGATTAGTAGTCAGGAGGATGAACTGGTGCATCGCAATCACATAAATAAATATAAAAGAAACACGATCTCTATGGAGCAAGATATGTATGAATCCAAATTGGGTTTGCTGGGTTAGACAGCATATTCACCTTATATTAAGTTTGTATGTATAATTTTGTTTCATCTCTCTTACGCGTCTGTATTCACAAAGCTATTTTGACAAAAATTATTTGTTAGATGGTGCATACACAGACTAGTCTGGATATTTTTTAAAAAACTACAGTGAATTCTATACTCCAAAATCATGTGATTATCAGGATGCATCTTTCTTCTGCAAATAATATTTTCTCATTAGCTACAATTGAAGAACTTTAATGCTACTCTTGATTTTTAACTGCTGTATGATGTTTGTTAGTGGGAAATACAAGATCCAAGGATGCTCAGACCTGAGAAGGATTCAAACCCCAAGTTGCGGAAAAAGAAAACCTCTGCCCCAAAAGCAACCATGCCTCAATTAGAAAGGACTGAAGAGGCTCCACAGATACAGGGATCTCTACCAGTTAAAATGGGGAAAAAGGCATCCAAAAAGAACTTAAAGAATGATGTCTCTCCACTATTCCAGCAGCCAGAGCAATCAAATTCGGATTCATTAACAGATTCATATACATCCGCAAACGAGTATCGGGCACTGAGGAAGAAATATTTGCTATTGGAGGAAGAAAGCAGTGCATTGGGGAAAGAGCTGCAAGAGGTTGAAGACGATGTTAGGAATCTTGAAAATGAGAAGCTTGCCCTTTTGGACCGGCTTGTTGTGTTAGAAGGTCTGATGGATCCTTTAGAAATGCAATCTAATGGAGTGTAATCCCTGAAATTCTAACTTCTTTGAAACATCACAGGTCCCTGTGATTCATGTACTTCGTATATTGTTACGATTCTTGTTGCCAAAATAACCATAGGATGTTAGTATTGGTTCTGCTTGAGGCTTGAGCAGATGTTTTACAAGGATATATCTTTTAATGATTTGCTTGTGCAAGTTTGATTGCATGCTGTAGGCCATAATGATTCATGATTAAGGAGGCAGGTGAACTCTTGCCGCAGAAGGCAAGGAGCAATCCAACTTGGTTTGTATGACACCAAGAGGGGGTAGAGAAACGCAGTCCCTTTCTAGGGAGCAACTCACTGTGGCGGCCGAGGTTGGTTGCTAAGCGAGTGTTTTATCTTATTGCTTAAATTTTATAGCAATGCTAGTTACAAATAACATGTAAAATTCTAAATTATAAACTAACAATCTTATGTAATATTAAATAACAATCGTACGTAATATTAAATGAAATATGATATTAAACAAATAAATATATATAATATTATAAATAAATTTTAAATAAAAAATTAATTATATAATAACATATCATCTTATAAATTTATAATATTATATAATATTATGATCATAACATATTCAAAGTTTTATTTTGTAAAGATTGGTTCAATGTGTTAATTGTTAAGCACTACTCTTCCACATAAAAATAGGAGTTTACAATAATGTATCGGCTATTTATCTCGGAATGTTATAATGTTATCGTTTAATCAGTTGTTTAAATTTACTTTAAAATAATCTTATAAGCAGTTGCAGCCTCGGCTGGGCTGGCAAAGTACACCCATATCTTGGAGCCATGGTACATGTCACATGAATGACTCTTGCTTTGTAAATCCCCCTCCTCCAAAACTCAAATAAATGAACCATGAAGGATAAACAAAACTCATACACTAAAATAAGGAGAATAAATAGTAATTCGAAACAATAACATTTCTGAAATTACTAGTAGAACTCTGCAAAGAAATTGTTCCACCTAGCCAAAAAAAAAGAAAAAGAAAAAAGATACTAAAAAATTGGGAAGAAGTCTTGAGTTTAGGAGTCTGGGACTCATGCTCAGATTCTTCAACACTATTCTCATCCATAACTCCAAAAAAAGAAAAAGTATAAGAAACATAAAGTCTGGCAACCAAACAAAAGCAATTAACAAAATATGGTCTAATAGAATTACTAAAGCATAGATTTAGATCACTGTGAGACGCCCAACCATTTTGAGAAGTTCTCAAACTCAGCATAGTCACTATCGGAGATCATTGTCTGGTACCATGCCTTGCCTGCTGCCTTGATTGCTGCGGCCTCCTCCTGTTAGGTTCAAAGAAGAGGAACAAAGTAAGCAAGTCACACAACATCATGATGTCACACATGCTGTTAAGCAATAATGCACATTTTAAAGCATACATGATTGTCACAGAAACAGCAGTACCCATAAAACGTTATAAAAGAACAATCAACAAAAATGGAATACAAGAAAATATTCATCAGAAGATAACAAACATAGACACGATTAACCACATGCTACATTGAAGTTTCTTTGGCACTTAAAGTTCCATCAGGAACAATTGGTTACAGTACGGCTGAAACAGACATAAAATTGATAATTCATTACATAAACAGGCATTCAAGTTTTATTTGAACATAAAAGGCACAGCAATCTTATAAAATACAACACCAATTAATCACCAGAATCAATTAATCAGCTAAAGTTATCATTATATATGTCAAGCACATAAAGAATATACAGCTCAATAAAATGAAAAGAAAGAAAGAAAAAAAAAAAGGAACCATAGTTGAGAATTCAGAGCAAAATTGAATATTACTCTTGAAGAGGGAACAGCTAGTAAAGTAAAGTTGGATAAACAAGTCAAACAACATGCATTTGACATAAACAGCACCAAGTAGGGAAGCACTTAAATTCCAATCAAGATTTTGGTTAAAGCTATTGAGAAACTTATGTGGCAAAGAAAAGATAAAGTAAATGCAGTAATCATTCAGATGAATAATACAAACTAAACTAAACCAAACTACACCCACATTAAGTAGCCAATGCATTAATTAGATATGACAAAGCAACATAAATCAGATACCTTTGAAATGGGCTTCCTTTTCTTCTCAAGCTTCTCCTTCTTAGCCTTGACACGCTGTGCCTCAGCCAAGAGGGACATTCTCCTAGCAGTCTTGGCATATGGGTTCAGCTTCAGCATGGTGTTCAAGTTCTTCAGCGGGTTCTTCTTCAGTGGAGCCCTCTTGATCTCCTTGTTGATTGGTCTCACCACTGACTGCACCTCATCGGAATTAATAATCCTAGCGAGATCAGCATTCACCATCTTGGGGCGGGGCAGAACATATCCCTTCTTCTTCTCGGAGATCTTGTCAAATGACCCATAGATTGAGTCCAGCTTCTCAAAAGCTGACTTGGTCCAGATCACAAACCTTCCAAGGTGTCCACCAGGAGCCAACTTGAGCAGATTCAACCTCTCAACATTGGCTACGTCAACACCAGGAATATTTCTGAAAGCCTTCACAAGCTTCGCCCCCTCAGTTCCATAAACAATAAGAGGACCCTTACGAGAGATATACCTGCGGTTCCTCATCTTACCCTTCCCGGGGCGGATGGCATGGCTGTCCTTTGCCTTTTCAGCATCGGCATAAGCTCCGATCTGCTTCAGAACCTTAATAGCAGCAGAGGTCTTCTCAACACTCTCCACAGAGTCAGAGATGACCAGAGGCATTTCAGGGACACACTCGATGCGGTGACCACGGGCCAGGACGAGAGAAGTAACACCAGTGGCAGCAATTGCTGATACAACGGCATGGCGCTTCTGGTTGACGGGAATCTTAACATGCCAGTGGCGCCAGGTCTTGGTGGGGGCGAACATTCGACCTCCACGACACATATTGCCGAAGGCACCCTGCCCGGCGCGGTGGGTACCACCACCCGGAACACGGGGGATACGGGACACAGCACGACCAGTACCCCAAGACTCGGCGGAAGTCTGATGACCGGCGCGTTTAGACACGGCGTAAGGCTGGCGGCTGTTCTTGGATATATTGGAGTGGACAAAGCTCACCACATCAGGTCTGATCGGAACCTTCATGACATCGGGGAGGGGTACAGTAGGGGCAGCGTCCGTGGCCATGTCGCCCTCTAAGGCTTGAACGGTGACAAGAGGGCGAGCGGCTGCGGCCATTTCGTCAGTGTGTGGCGGTGTGAGGCTAGGGTTTTGAGGGGGGAGTAAGAGAAAGAACTAGGGTTTCGTGGAATTTATAGTGCATTTGTTAGGGTGGTTAACATTTGTAGGTGTTTGGTAACAGGGATTATTGAGGTTAGTTCCCGGATAGGATTTTCTTTTCCCATTTGAAAATAATTCATAAAATTAATTTAAAAATCTAACGAGGAACAAATAATATTTTACAAAATAAGTTTTATATTTTATGGTTTAAATTGAAAAACAAAAATTATTAAATGAGGAGACAATACCAAATTTCAAAAGATTTATCTTTGTCTAATGATTAAGATTATAAAAATTTATAAGTGATAACTCACTACTCAATATCTAATATTATCTAACTAATTGAATTTTGTATTTTGCATTTTACAAAACAAAATTATTTCAAAAAATGAAAAAAATGAAAAATAATATAAAATTGAAAATTTCAAGACTATATTACACATTTTATAAAACTTAAATGATTAAAATGCCAAAAATAAGACAAAACATGTTTCATTTAAGTAACATGACCTTTCTTCTTCAACCTCTAACATTTGGGTCCAGTGTTCTTGGTGGGTGAATTTTGGAGCTCTATGTCACGAAGTGCGAGTTTGGAGACCCAAGTCAGAGGTGTCACTGCTAGGATCGCAAGGCGAGGTTGTGGTCAGCACACCCTTGTGTGCGTAGGACGTGCGTGGAGCTTTTTAGAGGCGTGTGCTAGGCCTGTGGTTGAAGTGCCGACACTAAAGTTTTACAAAGGATTTTGGGTGTCGATACTTGGGTGCAGTCTAGAGCCATCTTGAATTCTCCGGAAGCACCAGGGCCGCAGAAATGAAGACCAGACATTGGTCTGGGTGGGCTTATTGGGCCAAGCCTGTGTGTATAGTTTACTAAAGCCAGGTACATAATTCTAAAATAGATGGTTCTAGAATAATATAAGTTAAGTTAGGAGGAAGGAGTTGAGAAATTTCTAGTAATTATACGTATGAGAGAAGTTTTGGGAGTGTTCTAGAGCATTCACCTGCAGAGCTGGCTAGGGCAGACCTCATCTATAAATATGAGGCCCATTTTCTCCAAGTAAGATAGAGGTTAGAGAAAGCTGCTAGGTGACAATTAATAAGTGCATAGAGGGGCTATGTATTTCAAGTTTTTGTAACACTTCCTTGCAATCTAATAAACTCTCTTCTTCTCCCAAGCCCTTACCTTCATCTTTTATGCGTTGCAACCCTCTTAGTCCAGTGGGTGGGCTACGCCTAGCGTTGGGGAAGGCTAACTTCGTTTGGGTTCAGGGGCTCACATGATATTTTTTTAACTTACCCACATGACATTTTTTTTAAATGATGTGTAAGTTAAAATATTTTTTTATTTATAATTTAACATTTTTTATCTTTATTTCACAATTTTTCAACCTTAAAAAAAAAAAAATCATCTTCTTCTTCCTTTCCTTTCTCTCTCAATCCTTCAAGCAGTTAGCGTCCTCATTTCCCTATCAACCTTCCTCCTTCCTCTTTCCTCATTCCTTTCTCTACTCATGCTTCTTCTTTCTTCTTCTTATTCTTTCTCTCTCTTTTCTCTCTTCTTCTTCCTCTCTAGATTTGGGCTTTCTCAAACCTAGATCTAGGTTCTCTCAACCCAGCTTCAATAACAGTTGCGCCTTCCTTTAGCAAATTAATAAATTGAACTTCAGCATTTGGTAGATATGGACACAAATGCAGAAGGTTCTCCTCAAACCTTTGGTTAAATTTTGCCAAAAAATTGGTGAATTGTTTAAGAAAACAAAATTTCTAAGAAAAATTGACTTTTATTTCATGAAAATGTTCCCTTTTTTACCTTTGAAATGGAAACGTAGTTTCTCTCCTGATTTTCAAACTTCAAAATCCTAGCAAGAAACGACACTTAAATAAGCAAAAAGTGGAAGAGCCAAGGTGAGCAGCATCAAAATAGGTTACGATTTCTCCGTCACCACCTTCTCTTTGGACAGTAGAGTTTTCTAGATCGAGTACGCTAGCAAGGCCGTTGATAACAACAGGTCCATTCTATTTCTGTTTTGTTGTGCATTTAGCTTGTAATTTCAATTTCCTTAGGATTTTTTTTTTCTGTTGTTTTAGAACTGTGATTGGTATCAAGTGCAAAGATGGGATCGTTATGATACGCTTTATCGTTCCTAATTTTGGTATTTGTTGAATCTTGCTTGTGGATTTGTATGTGAATGTAATTTGTGGGTTTGGGAGTTTCAAGGTGTGGTAAAGCTCATTGTGTTGAGGATGATGTTGCTTGGTTCCAATCGAAGAATACACTTCATTGTCACTTTGGCATGGTATTTGCGTTGAGAGAACCAAGATTTGGGTTTTCTCAAACCTAGATTTGGAGAGGAAGAAGAAGAGGGAAGATAGAAGAGAGAGAGAGAAAGAATAAGAAGAAGAAGAAGAAAGAAGAAAGAAGAAGGATGAGTAGGGAAATGAAGGAGGAAGGAGGAAGGTTGATAGAGAAATGAGGAGGCCAATTGTTCAAAGGATTGAGAAAGAGAGGAAAGGAGGAAGAAGATGAAGTTTTTTTTTTTTTCTTTTTCTTTAAGGTTGAAAAATTGTGAAATAAGGATAAAAAATGTCAAATTATAAATAAAAAAATTTAACTTACACGTCATTTTTAAAAAATGCCATATTGGTAAGTTAAAAAAAGATGTCATGTGGGCCCCATTAAAAGGGAAAGCTAAGAAGGTGACAATCTGATGTGTAAAAAAAATACCATAGTGACAAATTTTTCTTAATTGGATTTACATGTTATTAAGATTCAAAAAAATCTAGCGAATTTGTGGCATTTTAACGTGTCATCTATCCATTTAACTAACAGAAGGATCACTTTGGTATTAAAAATGAAAGTTTAGGGATAATTTTAGTATT